CCCCAAAACCCCAAAACCCCAAAACCCCGGGTAGTGGATACAAGATTGAAAATATTGAAATCTTTAATATCTCAGAGATCTTTTAGGATTGTTGTAGTCTAGGAGAAGCTTTCATATTATTTAGTATTGCACAAGTGATGATCTGCTTATTTATCTAAAGTATCTATGTCTGTCAGATAATTTAAGAGCTAAAGCTCTTATTTGGATTTCTTTTAAAATAATTCATTGGTTAGTGAAAAACGATTGCAAAATTATAATATTTGAGCATTAAATCCTTAGAATAGATCTAAATTAAGCCCTGGTTTTAAATTAAAATCTTTCAAAACTAAAACCAAATGAAATATTTTGATGTCTAAAATGCACGGCTTTTAGCTCTCAAAATCCAGAAGCACTATTGATACTCTTCACTTATCATCTGAAGATGAGTTCATTAAGCCACCAAGAGGCCGTTGTAGATCTTTGAATCGAGAACGAAGCCCTATAGCTTTAAATTATATCTTTCATTGTATTACAGAAAAACTTAGAACAAATTATCTAGCTTGATGAACTCATCTAAGTCTCTTCCTTAGTAAAATCGGTGATTTCTTTGTACTTCCATATATAAGTCTTGAGATCCATTATGTGAATACCATTCTGGAGCTCACCAAAGCAGTAAAGGTGGCTCCGCATAACCTCAGCCTGGCCAGAGGAGAAAAGTTCTTGCTTGCTCAGATTGTATTTTTTGTTATAGGTCTCAACTTCATTTTTTTTAGGCTATTGAAGAAATATACCTTTTGGCTGAATGGGTTGTGGTATTTCTGAGAGCCCATTCCTCATTTGTTATTCTCTGAGATTCCTCCAAATATGATAATGTCTTTGCTACCAATCTTGGCAACACCGCAGTTATGTAAGAGACATGGGCTATCGCCAGTTTTGGATTTGAAGTTGATTTTCTTCCATTGATTTTGGCATATTTTTGAAAAGTCTCCATCTCCGTTATGAATCTGAAGTCTCTCGAAACAACTTGGATATGTCTGGTAGAACAAGTTCATACCTCCAAATACGTAGATGTATCTGTCAATATTGATTACAGAGTGTCCGGTTCTGTTATAATTTAGTTTAGGAAGTACGGTTGCTATATCTGTATCTAAGTTATACATTTCTCAGGCATACTCATCATTCAGACTGATGTTTCACGACCCAATAGCAAACAAGCATTCATTGTTATAATTGGTCACTGCTGAGTTAATGTGAAGATGCTTGAAGCTTCCTTTTTGAGAGAAGTCTCAGCCATTGAATACTGTTTCAAATAGCCTAGTTTTGCGGTCGCCGAAGGTGGAGATAATAAAATATCTTCCATCATTTAACTTTACCCCTTGAAAGTACTCTTTTGATTCACTCTCATTCCAGCACTGAGTTTTGATGTCATAAGGAGTAATCAATGAGGATACTTGGGAGGTTGAGTTTAACTTCGGATCAATCTTCCTCAGCCTTAGTGAATACTGTCTTCCTTTCTTTGTGAAAAGCATCGAATATTGGTGCAATATATTTGATTTGAGGTCTAGTAAATAAATAGTTTTACAATGCTGTTTTACAAGGAAGATGCAATTTTTGCCATCAACTCCTACAACTTGAGAAGTTCTATCTTCTAGCAGATGGCACTCTAAATTTTTCAAAAAATCACGATACATTTCCTCTTCATAAAGTGGCTTGCTAATGTTTCTGAGCTTCTGACATTCCTTATTTTCTCGAATTCAAGACGTCTTCTGCTGAAACTTGGTTGTATGATCAAGGATTTCAGAGCTAACTGAGCCTATTATTTCAAAATATCTCTCTTCAGACTGAAGAGGGGCTAATTTATTCATCTTTGATTTAATATCTGCATTTTCTGAGTTCATTACAGGGAAATCCTTCCATATCTCATTTTCATCATCCAATTGCTCAATTTCATGAATCTTTGCTCTTTTGAACTCTCTGATTTGGGTGTCAAACTTATTCTTAAGTTGAGCTAAGGATATATTGAGTTCACTAATCCTAGCCTTCTTAGTAGCCCTAATTTTCTCTTCAGTTAAATGCAATAAGTTCAAGGAATTTGCCTGCTCATGAGCTCAGCTTAAGATAGACATTCTCCTTGTAGCTTCTACAGATATGTGAGTAAGGTTCTTCTTAATCGCCTGATCAGCTTCATCAACTCACCGGGATCATAGGAAGGAGTCATCTTGACAATTGTAGCAAACATATTTTTGATGGTGAGCATTTCAGGTGTCTCGCCCAGGGTCTTTTCAAAACTTTTCCGGAATTTTTTCTGAGGATGGCTCCTGTATTTTCAGTTCCTCGGTTACTTTGTCAGCAAATTTGGCATCTCTCTTCTTCTCAATTACTTCAGAGCCTCCTTCAGAGCAGAACAATGGGTTAGCGAAGGGATATGAGTGAGAAATTGTCTTCCTCTTTTTCTTGTCCTTCTGAAATGACTTATTGAATACCTCACTTGATGTGAACTGTATCTCATCATCTTTGGTATCATCTATCTCTTCGGGCGGAGTGACTTGAGCTACTTTCTTCTCTTCTTGCTGCTTCATTTTCTCAGCTATTTTTGATACTTCATTGTTCTTTTTAGCATGAGAAAGTGCTAATGAGCTTTGTCATTCTTGGTTCAAGCTGAAAGCAGGGTCATTCTTGGATAATATATCATAGTTTGTGTCTCAGGTATCTCCAACTTCTGATATGTTCGGGGCATTACTCTTGCAAACAGAATGATTTTCTTGTTGAACAGGTAACAAATTTTCCTTCTTTTCAGGAGACTCTTTGGTCGGATTATCCTTCAAATCTTGCTCCCTCGGGAGGGTACTTTGTTGTTCAGATTGTTTCTTATTCTTTTTCTTCTGTCTTTTCTTCATTAGATTTCCCCCTGATAAATATATGTTAGGTCTTTCTAGTGCATCCTCAAGAATGGTAGTTTTCTTGAAGATGATTCTAATAGTCTCTGGTGCAGAATTTGAGCCTTTTGGTTGTTCATAAATTAAAGGAGTAAAGCTTGAAGGTTTAGAAATCATTTCTTCTGTTCGATTGCTTTGATGCTTCTTTTCTGCATCAGATATATTCTTTGGTCTAGGCTTTCTGCAAGCTGATTTCTTGCGTTTTAGAATCTTTTTAGGCTTCATTTTACCTTTGTCTTGGTCTGTGGGTGGCTTTGCTGACTTCTTATTTGTTAGATTGTCAAGAGTCTTTTTTTGGCAAATCTGAATTTTTATCAATATTACTGCTGGTCATTGCTTTTTGATTCTTGTTCAAACTTTTACTAGAATCTTTGTTTGTCTGTTTAGAGGGTTTCTTCTCTGTAGCTTTCTTGTCATTTTTTTGTGTGTCACCAAATACACTATCTTCGGAGATGCTTCCCTCTTTATCAGATGCTTGAAATAAGTCATCTGAGTTATTTTCAGGTACTTCTTGGTTTTTACTATTACTTTTTTGGTTTTCTCGGCTCTTTTTATCACAGTCAGACTTATCAAGAGGGGCAATTGTATCAAGGAGTAAGTCAGCATTTTTGCCTTTATCTTTAGGTTTATTAATCTTGTCGTCTCTGTCATTGTTATCATCATAGAAATCGAGCTTACTTAGAGCAGAGTCATTATCGCTGTCATCAAAATACCCAGTTTCTCTCAGAAGTCTTCTTCTCTCACACGTTGAGCTAGAAAATGGTTTAAACTTCTTCTTTGGGTTCAATTTTGCTGAGGCTTTTGGTTGCTCACTTTCGTCATCTCAGAGATCGATAGTCTCAGGTTTTGGAGGCCTCCCTTTCTTCTTCACTGGTTTATCAATTTTGGCCTTTTTTGTCTGCTTTATAATTTTGGACTTTGCTATCTTTTTCTGCTTGGCGGTAGGCCTGCTCTTGCTTACCTTCTTTGCACTTTGCTTTGGATTATTGTGGATTTGCTTTTGCATGGCAAAACTTTGGTCTTTGTTCTGCTTCTGAGTTTTCTTAAAAGCAGGAGAGTTCTTTTTAGAGCTCTTTTGGCCACATTGGGCTATCCCTAGGCTTGGTAGATGAAACCCTATCTTAGAGCTTGCATTCTTCTGAACGCTCTTACGGTTCTTAGAACTGTTTTTAATTGATTCAAGTCTTTTCTGCTTAATATTTTTCATGAAAGCATCAACGTATTTGCCAGAACCGACAGGAATTGAGCTACTTCTCGTATTAGTAGCATCATTCAGTGCCACCTTTCTTGGAGAATGTCTCAACTGAGAAGTTTCAGATACATTGTCGACATAACCAACAACAAACCGGCGACCTCCTTTAGTCTGGATTGGAGGATATCTGTTCTTTGAAATTATGAGTACAATTTCTTCATCTGGGTTTGAATCTGAATAGCTATCGTTCATTTGATAGTAAAATACTTCTAACAAAGCTAACAAAAATGATATATATTATAAGCCAATCTTAAGAAAATTTGTGATTTTCTAAATTTTAGTGTATGCTCATTTATCCTACAAATTTGCCAGATTTTAGTGGAATTGAAAGGACTAAACTGTACATAATCTTCTATCCCTAATACCTCTCACAATCATCCTTTCCCAAGTCCTTACGGTACTATCCTTCCCTACTATCTAGATCTCCAGCTTAGCAGGAGCGAAGCGGCCACCAAGATAACTGATGATCAGCACTAATGACGAAACCTAAGGAAGAAGTTTAAGCCACAAAATTTCCATTTTTAAGAATTAAGAGATGTCGTTTAGGTTTAAGGGATGTTCTGTTTAGATTTGACTTTTTGGAACGGTGTTTTGGGGTTTGGCTTGGCTATTTTTGATGAATTTGGGGAGAATAGACATAGTAAATGAAGTGCATGCGAATTGATTTGATCATTTGTTGCTTGGAGAGTTGTTGTTGATTAATTAGCCAAAAGTTATTAACTGACCAATTTGGTGCTCAAGTTTGGAAATAGATGGAAAATTAAGTTTAGAAGGTATATTTCATAATTTAGCAATTTTTTGAAATGTTTTTGGATTATAGGGTGTTAAGCATAAAGGCCAATTTTATTCAATTTTTAGAATTAAATAGGAATACCTGATTGCTTCTATAGTAATGATCACTCAGGGCTTAAATAGAAGGTACACCTATTGATATTCTGTTGTTTCATAAATTTATCAACCTAATTTTTACTGAAATCTTGAATTTTCAGGAAAGGTGTAATATTACTGACCTCTAGATCTAAAATTAAACTTCAAAATATTAGGTCCATCATTTGCCAAGTCGAAGCTACTGAATTAGAAACTATTTTGGTGTTTATAATTCATTTATTGCAGTTCTAATTTGGAGTAATAGTCTTATCAAAACCGAATGTTCTTATGAAAGGAAAATGATAATATTTCATTTTAAAATTTGATCCACTTATAACCAAAATCGCAGAATATTTTTGATTTAGAAAAAACATAGAAATGTGTGCGGATCTGAAAGAAATGAATACATTATCAGTGTCGACTTTGAACTAGCTTTCTTATTGGATGGCCATGCCAGCAGTCGTGATGAAGGCGGTCAAGATACAGTGGAGCCTTGCAATAGCTGATGGAAACACAAGTAACAATGAGTAGTGGTTACTGAGGATTCCTCGATAAAGTCTGGGCACTTTAATTAAGTTGATATAGTTTGAGTAAAGCTCAAGTTCTGTTTGTGCGACCTAGTCATGATAAGAGACTACATTTTTGATGAAGTCGACCTTTGTGATGTTGGGATCAATGAGAAAGAGGTAACAATCTTTGAAAATTACAATATTGGAACAATATTATTTGCTTCGAATGAAAAGTTTTGCGCTATACAGAAAGCTACTGACTTTGAGTATAAAATCAAGATATCATGAATTTGATCTTGTTCAGTTAAACTAAATTAATTTTTCATACCATAATATCTCAAAAAAATATTAATAAATCGGGGTTTTGGGGTTTTGGGGTTTTGGGG